GTGACTACATTGGCCTTTTTCAGTTTTCTTGCCCTTTTTCTTGACAATTATGTCACACTATTTTGTTTCAATCCAATTATATAAATATTCCAAATTATCCTCAAAATATGCTTTAAAGAAGCCAACTTGCACATTTTTTTGCCCCACTTGTGACACTAACCTTTTATATATATATATATTTTTCAAATATTCTTTTAATTAAATAAATAAACAAAATTTCGAGTGAATTGGGTCACATCAACTCATTTGACACACGAAAAGTGTCAGAAATCAATCGACTAGATAACTTATTTTATATTCTTAATTACTAAATTAAATCCATTAGATTAAATGTAATAATGAAATCCACTTGATGTTGTGAAGGAGTAAAAGGTAATACAAAGCAAGTTGTTGGTTGTCGCGTCAATCCAACCGCTTTCGTTATCAAATGAGTAAAGATTGAATCAAATCATGTGTTCAAAATGGGATTGGTCGGTGGGTATTATCGTTTTAACCATTAATTTATTAATGCCTTAATATTATGTGGAGGGAATGAACCACAAGTCCCCTCTTTGGCTCCACAAAACCCTATCTTAACCCCTTCTATTCACACTTTGCAACCATCCGAGTCTCAACCCCACATGGCCACACACATATATACTTTATTAGATGCAACACGATCATGTTACCTATTATCATCAAGATTTCTCTAATTCGGATGTAGTATCAATTCATTTATGTATCTCTTCTATTCTTTTTTACTTTCACCGTTCATTTAAGATTAAAATATATTACTTGAAAAGTGAATGGATTAAAATAAAATCAATTTGGTATTTTAGTATTTATTAATTTATTAAATTATTAAACACCTTCACATGCAATGACCATTTATTTCACATGGGTCCTACTTTTTTGTTTCTTTATTGAATTTGAAAGAAAACAATATTTATGATAGCAATTTTTTATTTCAAGTATTTCAACCATTTGAAATAATAATGAACATTTTTGTGATTTAAAATAAATGAGTGTGAATGAAGCTTTCAAAAGAAAATAATTAGAGTGAATTAGAGCACAAATAAAGTAATTAAACGTTTTTGATCTCTTTATATTTTTTTTTAATTGCAAAAATAAACAAATCAAAAAAGCAAGGGGCAATACTGACATTTTGTCATTGAAAAGGGATTGAAGAATCTTAGGAAGGGCAATGTTGACATTTTAATTTTATTTATAAAATTGAGAAATCCTAGCATGAGTTGTTCCTTGCACGATGAAATGCATGTGAATCCGCTAAAGAGAAATTGTTTGTGGCTACAGCACCAATTCCACGATAAATTATTATTATTATTTTTCAATAAAAGACCACGACTAGTAGATATTGTTGACTAGCTGTATAGTTCCTCAGATTCACAATGTTTCGTAAGACGGATTTATTATTTATATATTTAATGGAATTTTGATTGAGAATTTCATATTTTTCTTTTAGTTCAACTTTACTTTGAATTTATAAAATAAGAAATTAAATTTAAACTATAATGAATATGAAGAATCAAAATTGTACGCTAAAGTATTTAATTTTAATAGTTCGTACAAAGATGCCAAAGTTAGACGCACACTTTTAATTAAAAAAAAAAAAAGAATTATATAATATATATTTTAAAGGTAACAGAACCTGCACAGAGAAATATATATAAAAATATATTTATATAATTAACTAGACAGTAAACTGCAGTGTAATGGGTTTTTATTTTTGTTCTTTTTGTCTGGTTCTGTTTTTCCTTTAATTCCGATGTACTGAATTAATATATATATTTGATATTTTAATAATATATTTATTTATTAACCTACAAAAATAAAAACCAATAAGAAAATTAACAAAAATATTGGAGGGGGCCCAAATTTGTCATTTATCCGTAAAATTAAAATCCAAACGTCGATGTCGAAATTGCAAGTTGCAAGGGAGAAATAAAAAATAATAATAAATACATAAACAATAAATTTGTCGGTGAATGAGGGTAAATGTTATTTATTTATTTAATATTATAAAATATAATTAAAAAATAGAGAGGCTGCGGAAATAGAGCTAAAGACTTGGGGCACTGTGCCTCTGCAAAATACCTGCAAAGTAAAGGAGGTTCATCTTCTCTCACAAAAGCTTCCATTATCGGCATCTTCAGAGAGCTCAGACTCGCTGTACTCTACTGGTGGAGGCGCTGTGGAATTCAATCCAATCGAATCCACCACCATGAACGACGACGATGCATGTGGAGTTATGGAAGCTCAGTACATACGCAGGCATCACCGTCACCACCCCAAGGAGAATCAGTGTACCTCTGCTGTTTTCAAGAACGTTAGAGCTCCGGTTCCTCTTGTGAGTTCTTTCTTCGCCTCACTCTTCCGATCCACACCATTTCTTTTGATTTTGTTTTGCTCTTCCATTTTTCGTCAACGCTCTTGCACTCGTTTGCGATGGATTGTGGTTCTATTTCAATTTTTCCTCTACTTGCCTGTTTTAGATTCTTGCTTCCTTACCTTTTTCCTTTCCGACTTCAATTGGTGTGGATTTCTGCAACTTTTTTACGGATCGTTATGGTTTAATGAGATTCGGATTTCACTTGTTCTTTTTGTGATTTTGTTTTCCGGTTATTCCCGGAACATTTTTCTGTGCCAAATAAGGCCCAATTTTGTTCAACTAGATAGTTTTCATACGTGATTGCATATCCTTATTGAGATGTGACCGTGAGGATGAGATTTTACTTGCTTCTTTCTAAGGTGTCAGAATGAGACGAGCATCTTTGATAAATCTTCTTTGTTTCTTGTGAAATGATATAATCTTGGCGAATAGCCTCCATCAGTTCTTGATTTTGATCTTTCTTGCAGTTTCGTAATTGATGAATTGTGGAGTTTTCTTGAATTTGTTTTAAGTTTTTAGTTGAGTTTCTAATAACTCAAGGTTGCATTATATCAGGTTTGGTCACTGGTGAGGAGATTCGATCAGCCCCAAAAATATAAGCCGTTTGTTAGTCGTTGTGTGGTGAAAGGAGACCTGGGCATTGGAAGCGTCAGGGAAGTGAATGTGAAATCTGGTCTTCCTGCGACCACCAGTACTGAGAGGTTGGAGCTTCTTGATGATGAAGAACACATTCTTGGAATCAGAATCGTTGGTGGAGATCACAGGCTCAAAGTATGACTATTCTCGAACTCAATTTGTTTGATGGGACCTTTGATGATGAAAAATATTGTTCTGTTCAAAGATCTCTATAAATTGAAAACATTCCTGCTTTAATTGTGCAGAACTACTCTTCCATCATGACTGTCCATCCAAAGGTTATCGATGGAAGACCTGGGACGCTTGTGATCGAGTCTTTCGTGGTCGATGTGCCTAGTGGGAACACAAAAGACGAGACGTGCTATTTTGTTAAGGCGTTAATCCAATGCAATCTTAAATCTTTGGCTGATGTATCGGAGAGGATGGCTGTGCAGGGGCAAACTGAACTGCTCGAGAAATAGTTGGTAAGGAGGAAGCAACTGAACATTGATGTGAATAGTTTCATGGTAGACCCAGAGCCCATTTTAGCTGCAGTTGTGCTGTGCCATGTATAAAAAGATTGTTCAGAGCTATCCTACTACCACATTCCCTGAAGTTTTGGGTGTAAGTCCGGTGGTTGATTTTCCATCACATGGATATGAATTTGGCTGGTTTTTTACGTGCTTTTTCATGTTACTCGGTTTCTTTCCTTCTCGAAGGGCAATTTGCACTGGCTATCCATGGATGAAATTTGGAAGATTCTTAATTTATGTTAATTAACTTGGGTTTGTGCAGCTTGGTAGCAGAAATTTAGGGCCTATGCATTGTAGCTGAAGGCAGTACTGGTATGTCGTCCTGAAATAAGTTAGATTATGGCTTTATACATGTCAGTCTTAACCCTTGACTACACTTTTCCTGAGAATTTGTTCTCTACTTTTGTTATGTTATTTGGAATCAGCTGCTTTAAAAAGTAAAAATTGTGGAATGGTCAAGACTCAGGGACTTGTTTTTCTTGCTTGGGACTCTGGGAATGTGAAACCAATTTCTACCTCCATGTACAACAATTATGTCTGTTCTCAGCCATAATGTAATGAAATGTAGAAGATTGCTCATTTAGTTTCCTTATTGATGGACTCAAAAAGTGAAAAATTCACCGATGGGGGCTTATGAGAGAGGAGAATGCATGGGGATGGACGCCAGAAAAATTTGTGGTTTGATCTTTTGATGAGTTTCATTTGAGTATCAATTTTTGTGTTGAAGCTTCTGTTAAGTTCAAATTTTTCAATCCCTAATGGGTACTTGATCTATTCATAAAATGTTTTAGGAGGTTCGAGATGTTTTAGACCTAAAATTCAATTTTATATTGAACGAATGGGTTATTTTTTATAATATTTAAATATTAATCTCATGTGAGCTGAAAGTTCGACAATCATCCAGAGAAATTAAATATATCTAACAAGTTAACAGCTAAGCTATGAGCTGACATTTTGTTATTATAATTAATTATTTAGAGTAATTAATACAATTATTTAATCTACATATTCTATATTCGTAGGAATCAGATCCATTGACCTTTAGTGTAAAAATAATGAAAAAACTAGCACCACATAAAACATTTGTGAAGCCACAGAAATACGATTTATTTTTCCATATAATCTGAAATTCAAAGATATGAATCTTACAGTTTACCATTTTTTATACACAATTTTACCAAATTTATTGAAAAAAACTTTAAAATTTTAAAATTAGCTTTTACTCATCATTTTTTATAAGATTGTACTAAGTACTTAAACCTGGTAATTATGTTAATTAATTAATTAATTATATATATATATATATAGTTGGGAATAATATATTAGTACTTGTAACCCTTTTAATTTCTAGAAATTAGTTGTTATGTTAATTCTCATAAATAAATTATTTAAAAAAAGCTATGTTTTTTTTTTCCGGAAGTCGAGACGCATCATTGAATCTTATCCGTAGTTCACTGTATTTTTGTATAATTTTCCTTTCTTTAATTAGGTTCCCTCGGTCAACGTAACTGTCGCGCCACAGAAGCTCGTTGTGTTCGACGCGCCGTCATGGCCAAGAAGCGGGATCGCCAAGCCGTCTCGAATCGCCGGCAAAACCAAGCCGTCTCTTCTGATCAGCACCGCATCGTTGGTGATTCCTCCTCCGACCGGAGGCTCATCATCATTTTCGTTGTCTTCTTTGTCATTTCTCCCGCCATTGCCGTTCTCGTTTATCACAAATACACTTCAAGTGGTGACTTTTCTGGCGCATCTGTATACGAACGGGGCCTTATCAAGACTGATATCCGCTATCAAGAAATCTTAGCTGTATGTCTTTTTGAATCTTCAGCTACTATGAAAGTACTATAAAATGCTTTGGTCACTAGGATTTCCTAAATTTTGTGAACTTTCCAAAACCGGTCTATGCCTCATTGTCTCTTCGATGTGGCCACTAATATGACAAAGTATTAGCGCAGTTCGTTCAATTTGCTTCTGTAAGTAAGTTACTCAGTTGCTTAGGGTCTTCTGTTTGATGCAGGAGCACTCGAATGTCGCAGAAAATGTCTCTCGCCGTCATTATGATTATCCTGTACTTGCTTATATTACTCCCTGGTATCCACTTGGAAACTCTCTTGTGCCACTTTTAATCTCTTTGTCATTTTCTGATCGTCATGGGGGTCTACAATCTCTTAGCTATCTTCACATGTTTTTCTATGCGTGCATATTTAAAGAGTCTCTTAATCTATCAGCTTAAACCTTTAGCAAATTTCACATGGTAAATTGTGCAGGAACTCCAAGGGCTATGATATGGCAAAAAAGTTCAAATCCAAATTTACACATTTATCACCGGTGTGGTATGATTTGAAGAGGTACAGAAATTACGTCGATTTATTTTTCTCTTTTTATTGTGAGTTTTTTGGATGTGAAACGGACCTTTCATGAATAAAGAGAAGAAATACTAGAAATGGGGGATAAGAAAGGAAATAACCTGAGACCAAGGGAAAATATGGAACAATCTATTATTTGGTGAAATCAGAGAGGGAATTTACTTAAGTAGAGAACGAGCACCAACGTGAAAAATCAAGAACATTTGGATTGCAAACTATTCTACCTTTAAAAGCTTTCCATTCTTTTCAAGCTACGCCTCCACAAAATTGCAATAATGGAGCACATTCAACACACTTCTACTTACGTTTATCTCTTAGTGGTTTTCAGCTGAGTGTAATTACTACACAGAAACACATGATAGCGACATTCTTTGTTTAATTTTATTCCTGTAGTTTGCTTTCTACATTCTTTTTGTATTTCTTCCTTTTCCATGTTGCTAAGAGTTATGTTCTGGTACAGTCATGGTTCTCGCTTAGTGTTGGAAGGAAGGCACAATGCTGATCAAGGATGGATCTCAGAGCTAAGACTGACTGGAGATGCCCTGGTACAATGAAGGATGCATATTTATTATAGTTCATGTAGCACTAGAGGCAAGCAGATGGTGATATTAGTTCTAACAATATAACATAAAACATTCATTAGATGAAGTTTAATGAATCCTAGATTTATGTTTTGTGAGGAATTGTTGGGATTCTTTTGGATCAAAGAACGCATAGAGGATTTGTCTTTGGAAGGTTGTGAATTTCTGACAATTTGCAGGTCGTTCTGGGAGCATTGATTAATGGTCCACTTTGACTGTACCTCTTGTGCATGACTAGTAGTCTTAAATCATTATATTTGAGCTTGGACGGATGTTGGGCCATTTTATTCATTCATTAATTCTAAAGTAGGTATTGCCCAGAGTGGTTGTTGAAGCATCTCCTACGGATTTGCTTAGCAAGAAGAAGCTGAAGAACAAAGCTATCGATCTAATTGTAACAGAATGCAAGTAAGAGTACACTGGATGGTCTGCATGACCTTTGTATGTGATTTTGAATTTCTTATATATTAAAGAGGCAGATCCATGTTTTAGAGTCAGACTCTTAGATGCCGTTATAAATTTCAGAGTCAAGGTTTTTTTTTTTAATAAAATAATTAGATTACAACTCAACTTGATGTGTTGGATTGTTCTGGTGTAAGTTTTGTTCTTTTGTAATCAAAGATTTGATCTTGTTTAGTTTGCATGTTGCAGATAAGTCTCACAATCTTTGTTTTCTTTTGTCCAGGGAAATGGGTTATGATGGTATTGTGCTAGAATCCTGGTCTAGATGGGCTGCTTATGGGATATTGCGTGACCCAGATCTGAGGAATTTGGTAACCCAGTTTCTTCCTTCCCTGTTTTGGAGATGTTGTATACTACTTGCCGCCTAAGAAATGGAAAATGTATTCATTTAAAACGGACCTATATTGTTTCATATTTGTCAATATGGTTTTCTTGGTTCTGTCTTGTTCAGTAAATGCTTGTTCTTTTTGGCTTACCTGTGTCATTTTATCTTCTGGTTTTATTATATGTCGTTTCTTTCAAACGAAGTTAATTTAGTTTAGGGACATGGGGTTTGAGAATTTTTCCTTGATCTTTTTCCTTATATGCACCTTGTAATATGGCTTTCATGTTATCTAGTTGTTGAGGTTATCCAAGCCCGGAACGAAGAGTCGAGAGAATAAAGAAGAGAGACGATTAGAACTAGTTTGTTATTGTGGTCGGACTGCCTAGGCTTTCTATTACATAGATGGTGGTTATGATGGCCACCATTAGTCTTGTCAACTTTTCTTTATATTTTTAATGATGTCTACCTGGAGAGGAGGCCGTCAAAGTGCATGTGTAGGCGTCTTCAGTTCAGATATTAGATAACTGAGGGATCTGGTTTGATTCCCTATTACAGGCACTGCAATTTGTCAAGCAGCTTGGAAATGCCCTGCATTTAGAGGTTGAGAGCAGGAGATCTAAGCAACCGTTGCAACTTGTGTATGTCATTGGTCCACCGCGTACAGAGAACCTAGAAGAGCACGATTTTGGGCCAGAAGATATGCAGAGCCTTAATGGGGCTGTGGATGGTTTCTCACTTATGACCTATGATTACTCCGGTCCGCATAACCCAGGCCCCAATGCACCAGTGAATTGGATTCGTTCAACGTTACGGCTTGTACTTGGTATCAAGCGCAATAGCCCTGTTCAACACGAGGCTGGCAAGATATTTCTTGGAATCAACTTCTACGGCTATGATTTCAGCCTTTCTGGAGGTAGAAACCATTCTATCTTTTATATTCCTTTTAGTGAGTAACAGACTAACGTCGTGTAGTTATGGATCATTTTGTCCAATCGAAAAATTGGACAAAATGCGGTTGAATTTTTATTTCTAAGTTTCGATCAAAATCAGAATATATGTGCAATTCTACGTTCTGCCAGTACAGTAGCCATGGATTCTGACATTCATCCTCGATTATGAACTGCTTGTAATGGCAGTGAGCCTAGTTGGTTGTTCTTTGTTGTCTCTGTTCCCATTAGCAAATAAGGCAGTTCCCCTTCCTCACATTCTGAGAATTTTTTTTTTGTCAAATTGAATCGAGTATGAACGCGTAGATCTTCAACCTCTTTATCCTCTAGTAATTCTAGGAATGATCATTTTTTCACATTTATATATCCGAAGCCTAAATGAAATAAAATTTGACATCTGGAGATTGTCTTGTTTGTTAAGGAATTCCATAGCTCAAGAGTGCCCGTTTCTTAACAACAGTTGTATTTTGCTGGAATCAATAGGAGGTGGAGCCATCACTGGAAGAGATTATCTATCTTTGTTGGAGAAGTACAAACCTGTTCTGCAGTGGGAGGATATCAGTGCCGAACATTTCTTCTTATATGCTGATAACAATCAAAACAAGCACGCAGTTTTTTATCCATCACTGAAATCAGTGTTCACACGTCTTGAGGAAGCTCGATCCTTGGGTACTGGCATCTCCATATGGGAAATCGGGCAAGGTTTGGATTACTTTTTTGATCTTCTGTGAAAAGTCTCAGATTTGCAGCGTTTCTTAGCTGCTTTTGAGTGACCATCGTGAAGTTTTGTTCACTTTTCCACCTTTATGCTTCAATTCATTTATGGCTGATGCAAAACTATATCCATATTGGTTCTATATTCTTAAGGAGCTGAGTAGTGAGCCAATGTGTGTAAGCTAAGACAGGATCTTCATCGGATTCACCAGGGGGGGCCTGGGGTGTCCAGAATCTCCTCTACTACCCACCAGAAAAAGGGAAAATCATTGACTATGTTTGATGTAACAAACGATATCCATAATGTTGAGATGCTAGAATGGCTTCCAATGTCCTGGAACAAGTTGTTAGGAATAATTAATATTATCAATCGAAAGATTTTTTTTTTCTTTTAGAGTAAGAGTCTAATTCTATTTGCTACCATATTGTATTTTAGTGAGCTCAATTACGATCTTGATTAATATTTTTCGATAAATAACAAACATTTTATACTGTCGTCTAACTCCCATTTTCGTCTGTGAATATATTGAAGCCTGTTCTTAGAATTCCAGACAAACTTGACAATCTCCATCTTGTTCTTGTTACAACTCAAGTGTTCTAGTTGAATATTGTACTACAAAATTGTGTACTGTACGTGCATTGATTCTTCTTCCCATTCCCACTGTGTAATTTCATCGGCTTGTACTTCTGTACTGAAAGTTCTACAGAAGTTCCAAGGGGGTTTAGATCTAATCGCATCTTTCCACTCTTAACTTTCAGCCACACAAACACATCTCTCCAAAAACAATCATCCTTGCCACATGTCATCTTGTTATTGGTTGCAGATCTTCTCTCATTCCACCTCAGCACTCTGTTGAAGAAAAACAAGAGTCCCAATTGCAACACAACTCTCTCAACCTAAGCCTTGTCATCCCTTTTCACACCTTGCCCTCCATTCAATCATATCCCCACCAAAATATGCCAAATTGGCATAAACCCTTCACTTGTTATGCTTGTTGAATCCATCTCATCAGAACAAAATTGGTATGGAGGCCCTCAATGCAGCAAGTTTGAGCCCCTTGGCTGTTCTTTCCGACAGAAAAAGAGAACCCAGAAAACTCTCCCCAATCCCATCTCCTTCCTCCTTCAAGTCGCCAAATTCTGCTAGTTCCAGCACAAATTTACCAGTTCCACAAGGAATTTGTTCATCAAGAAGCTTACAAGGAAGCCTAGTGCTGTTATCTTCAGTGCTTAATGCTGGTGTTGCCGGAGCTCTTACATACGAGGAGGCTCTCCAACAATCTGTGAGCACTTCGTCATCTGGGGACTTCGATTTAAATGGGGTTCTTGATGGAATTATAAATTTTGGGACAGAGAATCCTGGAATCGTTGTTGGTGGTGCTGTCATTTTGGCCCTCCCTTTGTTCTTCTCTCTTTTTCCCCGAAAATCTAAGCCATGGGGTGTTGAGTCCGCTAGAAATGCTTATGCAAAATTGGGTGAGGATGCCTATGCTCAGCTACTTGATATTAGATCACCGGTTGAACTAAGGAAGGTGGGCGGCCCTGATGTTCGGGGTTTGGGCAAAAAGCCTGTGTCCATCACTTACAACGGTGAAGATAAGCCAGGTTTCTTGAAGAAGCTTGGTTTGAAGTTCAAGGAGCCTCAGAATACCACATTGTTCATTTTAGACAAGTAAGCCTTTGCAGAACTCTTTACGTAGGTGCTCATCTTTGTTAACTTAGTTTAGACTTAAAACCTGGCTAATGAGCAATTCTACCTATTACCCTGTTCGGTGTTTTGTTAGAGTTAACTATATAAACAACCAATCGTGTCTTTCCTTTTGATGGCCCTTGATTGAAAGACAGTGACAGGTCTAATTGATACCCTCAAGCTATATCACTAACTTGAAGATAAGAATTGTTCTTTTAGTTCACAAATCAATCAGTATGCCTTTACCCGAACTGATAGCGAAAACAAGAATGTATATCAATGAACTACTTTTAGCAAATGGAAGAATCTTTTGTGGTCTATGGAAAATTGAAACCTTCTGTTAGTCTAGAATCATAGTTACTGTGAGATTCCACGTCGGTTGAAGAGGGGAACAATTTCTTATAAAGGTGTAGAAATCTCTCTCTAGCAGACGCGTTTAAAAACTGTGAAGTTGACAATGATACGTAACGAGCTAAAGCGGACAATATTTGTTAGCGGTGGGCTTGAGCTGTTATGGTGTTTTTTTGGAAGACAGATATGATGGCAATTCCGAACTCGTAGCCGAGTTGGTAACTGTCAATGGATTCAAAGCTGCTTTTGCTATTAAAGATGGTGCAGAAGGACCTCGTGGATGGACGGTTATCACCCTTCTTCTTTGTCTCTAAGTATTTCTTTTGGTATATTTTAGGAGGTTCTCACTTGGATCTGTGTCTTGCGCAGAATAGTGATCTTCCTTGGATAACACCGAAGTCATCTTTCAGCCTTAGCAGTCTAACAGATGCCATTGCCGGTGCATTTGGTGTATGCATTTCTATTCCAATTCGTTTACTTAAAACTTTGCATTGGCCAAAGATGATTGGATTTTCTCTAAGATTATTGATTAAAATTCACGTGTAGGAGGATTCTGAAGGTCTGCCTGCTGTTGCTACTGCTGTTGCTGCAGCAGTTACTGGAGCAGGTGTATTGGCTTTTGCGGAGGTTAGCTCATATCCTTTGCCTATGAAACTATATCAAGAGAACCAATAATAATAAGTCTTAGATTATCTTCTTCAACAGATGGAAACTGTTCTCCAACTTCTGGGTTCAGCTGCAATCATTCAGTTTGTGAGCAAGAAACTCCTATCCGCTGAGGTGAGTTGGATATACGTAACTTAATGCTGTGTTCACCATCATCCTAGAGTTGTTCGACATTCGACATTAAAATTCCCCATCGAACACATCATTCGATACACCATTATCATGTTCACTTAATTTTTTCAGATCATCTACTTTTAGTACCGACGTCTCGTGGGAAGTTGTTCTTTTATTCGGATTTTTGACGATAATATATCGTTCTACCTAACCGCTCTGCTTTTGGTTACTGAAGTATGCTTGACCTCAATCCATTGGTAATAGGATCGGAAGAAAACTTTTCAAGAAGTTGATGAGTTCTTAAACACCAAGGTTGCCCCACAAGATCTTGTCGACGACTTGAAGGTACTTGATACATTCTGTTGAATTTACTATCACATAATCCCATAATCTCAACCATCTATGAATGTCAGGACATTGGAAAGGCTCTATTACCATTGCCTGCTACAGGCAAGTCACTGCCTGCAGCAGAAGAGGCAGCTGTGGAGGCTGCAACATCCAGTGACACTCTACAGACAGCAGAGGCTGCCCCTGTCTTGACTTCTGAACCAAAAGCAGAAGCTGTTGCGGAGCCTGCTCCCGAGTTAACTTCGGTTGCCAAACAAGAAGTAAAGGCAGAATCGTTGCCCAAAATCTCGAGGCCGCTTTCTCCATATCCTTATGTAATTATCACGTCCATGAGTATTTCTTTTCTTTGCCTTTTTGTTCCCAAGCTTCTAGTTGTAGATTGCATCTCACAAAAGTGGAGAACTTGTCAACTGCCTAAAACAGCTTGTGTGATATCCCACATCTGTCGAGGAGTAAAACGAAACACCCTTGTAAGGGTGTAGAAACTTTTCCCTAGCAGACGCATTTTAAAAACTTGAGGGGTAACCCGAAAAGAAAAGTCCAAAGAGGACAATATCTACTAGCGGTGGGCTTGGGCCGTTACAGCTTGGTTCCAACAGGACATCTTTTATAGTTCGCCTTTAGCACTTAGCAGTATCTCAAGCCATGTTTTCTAATACTCATACTCGAAACTAGATAATCTTTCTGATATCAAATATCATGGTTCTAGTCTAAGACCAAAATGGGTGCGCTTTAGAACTCAAAGATACAGTTATCATAGGCCAAAATGGGTGGTTTAATACTCGACTCTGGGCAGTAGGCACAATATCCCCAACTTGGAGCAGTCATTTTATCAAGTTGTTTTCTGTCTGTTAATGACATTCATGATACATACTATCTCTAAATCTCCATGTTTTGTCCCTGGTTGCAGTATCCAGATTTCAGGCCTCCGACGTCTCCTACGCCATCGCAGCCGTAACGACGGAGTAATTTAGCTGGGAATCCCAGAGTCTACATTAGTGAGGTATGGTGGGTGAGCTTGTCATATGTTTTAGTGTTGAAAGAAGGCATGGATGACAGAGTAGGTCGTTGCTCTTAGTCTCCAACAAAAAAGTATGCTGCTTTTGTGATTTTCATATTACAAGTCAATGAAATTGTAGTTATTTGCAACTTTGACCTCAAACTCTTCAAATGAAGATTGGATTAAGCTCCAAATTCAAAAACTCAGTACTCTTTCACCTTCACTAAAGAAAACAGAGTGGGGAACAGGTATGAATCAACTGGAAATTGCATAAGTAGTTCTAAGAATCATGGTTTCTGCCCAACTTTGAGAGGGGCCATGATGTTTACTTTTCAAGTTATGAATCTTTCAAAACAACTGGAACCATTCTTACTCTTTTGGTTTGAGAGTCTGGTTGTTCAGCATATCTGCTTGAGTTGGAAGTCTTCTTCTTTGAGTATTATGATGATTTATTCATTGGTCAAAGTTTTGAAAAGAAAGATAAGGAGCAAATTTGAAGATGGAATTCAAATTTTTGACCAAATGGAATTGGAATTTGAAATCAAAACAATATAAAATTAATAGGAGGTCACCCCACATGACCCACATTTAGCTCCGAAGTTTTAAGATCACTCTCGTTTAGATATAATCTTGATTCATTCATGTATCTTTCTTTTACTCGAGCATTACACGAAATCTCCTACTACATCCATAACGTCAACACCTCAGGCTAAACGTACACGTGAAGACTCATTCGACGTTATACCATTTTCCTTTAAACACTCTTTACATACTTGTGTTATCATTTGTGGGACTGCTGCATGCTACGTTTTTGTCTCGGTTCAAGCATGAAATGGCATCATCTTCTTAAGAGTGATAAGTAATGAAAGAGGGTTCAAAGTCAAAGGAAACCGCGTCAAAGAAAACTTGGATGTTTTTGTTTTCTTTTAAGAGAAAGTCCGATGCGTTTTGAATATGATTCAGAGTTGAAGATCAAAGGCCCACATGATGTGTCGACGTAACCAAAGGGTTCATATCTGACTTCACCACACGACGTCACTGCCTATGGAAGCTCTTTCCGCGTTGTCCCTTCCACATTGGCTATGCTTACAGAACCCACATCAAATTACTGCACCCGATGGCTTTTGAAATGGTCAGCCATTCCCACTTTTTCCCAACTTTTTGCCTTTTATTTAGTATTTATTTCTTTCACAGCCCTTCTTACACGTCTTGGCTCTCTCTCTTCGGTGTTTGACATCTTTATATCCCCCTTCGCTTCCAACCCAACTTCCATACCTCTTCAATTCTCTCAAAGTTTGGAGCTTTTCCCTCTTTCCTCTTTTGGGTTCACAGTAATTGGGATTTGGGAGTGACCCATTTGAGTGAAACAGTTTTCTTCTTTCTGGGTTTCGCCAAATTTTGAATCTTTGAATGACCATATTCTTCTTAGATTCTATCAACTACTGTGTGTGCCGCCGCCGCCGCCATTTCTTCTTTGGGAATTTGTAATAATGGAAATGGAACACAAGAGTTTGATCACCGAGTTGACTCAGGGGAAGGAGCTGGCCCTTCAACTCAGAACCCATCTCCACCCTTCTTCTTCCTCTTCCCCAGCAGAACCATGCTTCTTCTTGACTGAAATGATTCACTCTTCTTTCGAGAAAGCACTGTTGCTTCTGAAATTCAACTCTTCTAGTTCAATAATGCCAGATCCGACAACCCATAAAATTGCTTCGGTGGAAGAAGAAGGAGAAGGAGAACCCCGCAAGAACAAGAGGAAGAACAGTAGAGATGTGTTGAAGAGGAGGTAAATAAAATTTTGAGTTCCAACTTTTTGTTCTTTGTTCTTTGTTCTTTGTTATTTGTTATTTGGATTTGGAGATAAATCCTTTTTATCTTTACAGAAAATTACTGCCTAAATGGACAGAGGAAATTAAGATTTGCAGAGGAACTGCCCCTGAAGGTCCTCTCAACGATGGTTATAGTTGGAGAAAGTATGGCCAAAAAGATATCCATGGTGCTAATTTCCCAAGGTAAATAATAATAAATAAATCTTGGGTTAATTTTTGGCATTAATGGGTATTTAGGGTTCATTTGATTAATAACAACTTGGGATTTAGTTGCGGATTAGCATTATTTCCACATGTTTGAAGAATAGTCAACCAACTTAATTGGGTGAAGAAAGAAAAGTCAACCAACCCAATTGGGTGATGCAAGTGGAGAACATGTTGATATTATAAATATGAATAAAATGGTTTCATTTATGTAATTTTTTGGGTAATTTTGAAATGTGCAGATGTTACTACAGATGTAGTCATAGACATGAACGAGGATGTTTGGCGACAAAACAAGTTCAAAGATCCGACAATGATCCAAACATTTTCGACGTAACCTACAGAGGACGACACACATGTAACCAATCCACTAATAATTTGGGGTTGGTTTCTGGTTCACCTCAAAATGAAATCTCTGGAGATCAAGGAACCGGTCAGAATCAGCAGCGGAACCCGAATTCCGAAATTTTGTTCAATTTCGGTGTTAAATCGGAGGATTTTGACGATGTTTTTCCGCCCATTTCCTTTCTCTCCTCCCCCATGATGGACCTGCCTTTTTTTGCCGACGGCGGCTTGTCTGCAGCGCCAGTTTCATCAGCCACGTCGGAGGAGACGGCCTGGGACTGGAGCGGCTACCACGGCGGAGGGATTCAGATGGTTCAATCGTCGGAGCAATCGGACATGATTTCCGCGACTACTTCAGTGACCAATTCGCCGATTTGTAACGAGGATTGGGATTTCGATTTTGACCAGAATTTCCCCTTTGACTCTCTAGATTTCATCTCTTCATGAAGTTTTTTTTTAATTTTTTTTTTATACCTTTTTACTAATTTTTCTTCCTTTTCAATATTATTATTATTATTTTCTCCGTGTAACGATAACTTTGGGGTTAATTTGTGTATTTTAAATTTTGTTTTGTTCTTTATGTTTGTAATGTTTTAGTGGTGAATTTTTTTTATAGAAATGTAATGTAATGATTTCATTAAGTTATTGAATATGGGCCTTTGGAGAAGTGGAGAAGAGGAGAAGAAGAAGAATATGAGCTTTTAGCCCAAACCAAATCACTGCCATGAGTTTGACCCACATCGAATATATCATGATGGGTGGAGGCATAAGCGAGTTGGGCACGTTGAGGATTGTTGGGAGAGAAGTCCCACATCCGCTAATTAAGGGGTTAATCATAAGATTATAAGTAATAAATACATCTTCATTGATACGAGGCACTTTGAGAAACCAAAAGCAAAGCCACGAGAGTCATGCATCTCCATAGAACCTTCAAATGTCAAACAAAGAAGTTTGAGCCTTGAAAGTGTAGTCAAAAGTGACTCACCTTTGTTTGAGGGTGTTAGAGAAGGAGTCAATTCTATTATGTACTTTATTTGTTGGGGGTAGAAGTCCCACGTCTAATAAAATGATTCTAATAAAATGATTCTAAAGAAAGCCAGGCTTGAATGATGGAAATGAGGTGAGGCTATAGAAGTAATTGTGATTGGAGAGTTGAGTGAGGTGCTTGTCACGTCGTTTGCAACTAATAAAATGGCATCACATTCTAGGAAGAAAGGAGGGGTGGCCCAACTGATGTGCTCTCAAATTTTGTCCATATTATTTCTCACCATATCTTCTTCCAACCACTCCCCAATTGCCCTACTTTCCAAGACGCAACGAATTTTAATTTAAACCATAATGTTCATTATTTAGTGAAAACAAACATGACATTTACATTACAAACTTACGGATTTAAACGGTAATCTTATTTTGAGGAAACCAGTTCCAAAGATCTCTATCCCGAAACGTTGCTGCTCCTCCATTTCTGAACTACTTCCAGGAGCGTTCTTGAAGAAGACCCCCCGTCTCCAATGGCCCTTTCCCCTGCAACTCTCAACTCCTCCATTTTTGCACGCACTTTCTTCCCCTCTTCGCCTTCAAACAGACACTTCACGACCTTTGCTATCTCTTCCTTCTCAATAATCCCACTTTCCTCGTTCATCTTCGGCCTCAGCGCCGCCTTAATCTCTTCTGTTAAAATGATGGCGTTCACTCTCTGTTCTGCATACAGTGGCCAAGCAATCAGAGGAACCCCACTAACCAAGCTCTCCAATGTCGAATTCCACCCGCAGTGGCTCAGGAACCCCCCGGTCGAACCATGCTTCAGTATCTGTGCCTGCGGAGCCCACGACGGCACCATTAATCCCCTTCCCCTGTTTCTCTCCACGAACCCCTCCGGCAAGTACCTCAATGGATCATCCTGGCTATGGACACTGAAAAATGATGCACTCGCTTCCTTATCGCTCGGACTTCTAACAACCCATATGAATTTTTGCCCACTCATTTCCAATCCCAAAGCCAATTCGTTCAGTTGAACACTCGACAGAGTTCCCCCACTTCCAAACGACACGAATAGAACTGACCCATGTGGTTGTTCATCCAGCCAATTCAAACATTCAACCCCTTCCTCACTCCCACTTGAATCAACTTTCACCAATGGACCAACTGGGTAAATTGGGGGGTTGCCGGATCCGCTCAATTGCAGAGCATTTATGGCACTGGGCTCCAATTCCAGAAAGCTGTTGAGGAAAATCCCCTCTGCTAACACAAACCTCTTCATGGTGTCGAGAAAAAACTTGTAGGAATCATTTTCCCTGTCTAGAAACGGATCTGGCAATTCCTTCCCTGGAATTGGGGTGCACCCCGGAAGTCTAATAGGTTCGGTGAGGTCTCTGTACTCGCCGGTGACCGACTCATCCAACTTCGGCATGTGGAGAATAAGCGAGAGAGTCGTGGCGGCGCAAGGAAAGTAAATGTAAGGCGAGACGCTGAATTCCTTAGCGACATCGAAGGCCACAGTGCCGAATTGGTCGACAACGAGGGCGACAAGGTTGCGTTGGGCCACGATGGATTTGAAGAGGTCGCGAAGAGAGGGAAGAGAGCGACTAACGGCAAGGACGATGATGGTTTCGGCTTTGGTGTTGCTTGGAAGGTCATTCAATGGAGCAGGCGGGAGGAAGATGTGGTCGATAGCGGAGGGTAGGGAATTGAGTACGGAGATTTGAGCTTTGGAAGGAGCGTCGCCGGAAGGGACGGCGAAAGTGACAGTGAAACGGTGCAGTAAGACGAGCCGTTTGGCAAATTCGATGAGTGGGATAAGATGACCCATTCCCGGACTTGGCATCATTAGAACGTGGGGCGTTTGAGATTGAGCTTCTTCCATGGCGGTGAATGGCTCTGCTCTGGTGGGTGCTGTGGGTCGGACAGCCACACTCTCTCATAAACAAATGAACTAAAATTCCAACACCCCCTTTTATTTATATAAAAATATAAATAACTTTTTAATTTAAAATAACATATAATTTTATTTATTTTATTTTATTTTATCATTAAAAGAGTGAGAAAATATGGAAATGATTAAAGAGTTGGTTGTGCTTTCCACTTGAGAAGCGCTTGGCGCAGGGCTTTTGTTGAAGACCCATCTTCACCGACGGCTCTTATGGCGGCGTCTTGCAATTGCTTCATTTTAGCACTCACTTTTTTCCCCTCTTCACCTTTGAAAAGCGACTTCACCACTTTAGCAATCTCTTCCTTCTCCACAAACCCATTTTCCTCATTCGCCTTCGGCCTCAGCGCCACCTTGATCTCCTCTGTTAGCGTCACAGCGTTCATTCTCTGTTCTGCGTAAAGCGGCCAAGCAATCAGAGGAACCCCATTTACTACGCTCTCCAACACCGAATTGTTCCCGCAATGGCTCAAAAACCCGCCGGTGGAGCGGTGCTTCAGGATTCGAGTTTGCGGCGCCCATGATGGCACCAACAGCCCCCTCCCTTTCACTCTCTCCACGAACCCCTCCGGCAGATAACTCAATGGATCGTTTCGTGAATGCACGCTGAAATAGGATGCATTTGCTAACTCGTCGTTGGGACTTCTGACAATCCATACGAATCTTTCCCCACTCATTTCCAATCCCATCGCCAACTCCACGGTTTGTTTGCTGGATAGAGTCCCCCCACTCCCAAACGACACGTACAGAACAGACCCATGTGGTTGTTTATCCAACCAATTCAAACATTCGGCACCTTCACCACTGCCATTTTCATCCATTTTCACCACTGGACCAATGGGGTAAATCGGGGGTTCTGCCAATTTCAGAGCACTAATGGCACCCGGCTCAAACTCCGGGAAGCTATTGACAAAAATCCCATCCGCGAATCGAAATCTTTTTGCATTTTGGAGAAATAATTTATAGGCTTGGTTTTGCCTATCTTGAGTCGGCTCGAATAGATCTCTCCCATGAATCGGAGTGCATCCTGGAATTCGAATCAGATCGGGATGGTCTCTGTACTCTCCAGTGACCATTTCGTCGAGCTCCGCTAAGCAGAGATTGGCGGAGAGAGCCATGGCAGTAGAGGGGAAAAAAATACAAGAGGAGAGGTTAAATTCCTTACCCACATCGAGGGCGTCGATGCAAAAATGGTCGACAACCAAGGCAACGAGGTTAGTTCGAGTATCGGCCACCATGGATTTCAAGAGATCTCGAAGAGAAGGAACAGAGCGAGCGACGGTGAGGGTAATGATGGTTTCCATTCTCGAATCGAGGGGAAGATCGTTGAGGGAAACGGGTGGGAGAAAGACGTGGCGGATCTGGGGAGGGAGGGAACAGAGGACGGAAATTTGGGCGGTGGTAGGAGGGCCATCGGAAGGGATGGCGAAGGTGATAGTGAAATGGTGGTTGAAGGTGAGGAGGCGTTTGGCGAACTCAAGGAGAGGGATTAAATGGCCCATACCTGGACTTGGAAGCATCACTATGTGGACTGATGGAGATTGAGCTCCGCCGTCTGTCTGGGAAACTTCCATGGCTGTGGCTGTGGCTGTGGCTGTGAAACAAAGAGGCGCGGAGGAGGGATTGAGATTAGGTTGCCGGATTAGCACAGAAAAATGGCCAATATAAAGACATGAATTGGCAGCATATCAAGCCTGTGTTCCTCAAGATAACTTATTAAAATCTGTCATCCCTACAAAAACTTTATTAAGAATGACGATTTTCCTTTTTTCTGTTTTTTTAAAACATTTGGTAGGTGATAAATTTGACTCCTCCTTAATTTTTTTTCTTAAATGGAACTGACCACAATCTTAAATTAAAAATCTCAATAAATTTAAGTGGATGAAATTTAGTAATTTTTTGAATTATACTAACGTTTTTTTTTTCAAAAAAAAAAAAAAAATTATTAATTTGATATGGTAAAAAACCTTTATTTATATCCAAATAAAAAACAAAAGCAAATCCAAACATATTTGTACACTATGTCTATTTGAACATAATATTTTTACCAAAATGTCAAATTTTCAAAAATTTTATTGAACTCATAAATAAATACTCAGTTGTTTTTTTCTTTCTTAAAGATGGAACATTGGAGAGAGGCCAAGTGTCCTTTATTTATCAATAAGATTTAAAAAGTATAAGATAAGATGCAAAGTATGTATGATTCTCCACAAAACTTATAGAGTAAAGAAAACAAAGAATACTTCTTTGGCAAGGGAATAAGCAATGATAACAACGATAAAGATGGGCTCCAGATACTTGGTCCGTGAAAATTTGACAAGACATAATTTAGATCATTCCTTTATTGAGATTTGAATGTAAATCATTATTTTGAAGAATAAGTTCTTAAGTTTTTTTTTTAATATTTTTCTTAAAATGTATTTTTATAATGTAGTTATGATATTTCTTTATTAAATAAAAAACTTGAAGATATAATAAACCTGTTCAAAGCTAATAAAAAGTTATAAAAATATATATATATATACTAAATGACATATTATAATATCAATAATTTTTTATAAAAATAATAAAAAAAAAACTAAAACTATAAAATTAAATCATAGTTGTTAGGTTGAGTTAATAATAGGTTAAACTTTTAGAAACTATTTATTTAAGGTAGAGAATAACCTCTTTAAAGATATTTATTAATAGGCAAAATGAATGGAACACAAGCTACTTAGTAGGTTGGAAAAAGTATCCATAAATAACACCAAAGGATAAAAAGCAAAATAAATGAGTAATCAATTATTGTATTCATTGATACCTCACATGTAAGGGAGGGAGGCTCATCGTGTCGCCAAGACCTTACAAATGTCGCTAAAATGAAGATGTCTTTTCTATAGCTCGTTCAATACTTTAACCTATTTATAGCTATTAAGGCTCTCATGGTTTATAATTTCTCCGATGTGGGAACCTCCTCTCTCCTTCACTCCGCACCTCACGCCATCTCTCTCTCCCACTTTTTTTTTTTTTCTCTCTCTTTATTATATATATAATATGTTTTTTTCTCTCCACCACTCTTTATTTTATTATTACCATTGTAAGTTCATCGATTCCTTTTAATTAAATTATACTTAAATTCATTATTATAAATAATAACTTTATATCATTTTATAATAATATTTCCCTCACGCATAATGCTATAATTTTTAATTCTTTTTTCTGTTTCTGTAAAATAATATCATTTTGTTTCTTTCTTTCAGTGATTTTTTTACTAGAATATTGGTGGATATCCAAATATCCACGTGGATATATCCGTCAATTTAAATTAGATATTTTCATCCTTGTAGGCAAGTAAAATAAGTGACATTTTTTTAGATGAATAAACGAAGAACACGATGAAGATACAGCAGAGGATTTGTAAATGCAACAAAAGGAAAGAAAAAATTATCTAATTTTCCTACGTGGAAATTCTGGCCTTCCAAGTGTTTACCACATCACTCACTATTTTGGTGGATGATCCATCTTCTCCAACAACTCTTTCAGCTGCTTCCTTCAAATCTTTCATTTTCCGACGCAGTTTCTTCCCCTCTTCCCCTTCCATCACCGATCTCACCACTTTCGAAATCTCTTCCTTCTCCACAATCCCATTTTTCTCATTTGTTTTCAGCCTCAACGCCACTTTAATCTCCTCTGTTAGCATCACTGCGTTCATCCTCTGTTCTGCGTACAGCGGCCAAGCAATCAGAGGAACCCCATTAACCACGCTCTCTAAAGTTGAATTCCATCCACAGTGTGTCAAAAACCCGCCGGTGGAGCTGTGGCTGAGGATCTGAGCCTGCGGCGCCCACGACGGCACCACCAGGCCTCTGTTTTTGGTCCTCTCTACAAACCCTTCTGGCAAGAAATCCAATGGATCCCTCTGACTTTGGACGCTGAAATAGGTGGCGTTTGCGGCTTTATCGCTTGGACTTCTAACAACCCATATGAATCTCTGTCCACTCGTTTCCAATCCCGATGCCAATTCGTTAATTTGATGGCTCGACAGAGTGCCACCGCTTCCAAATGACACAAACAGAACAGACCCATGTGGCTGTTCGTCCAGCCACTTCAGACACTCTGCCCTTTCTTCCTTCTCATTTGCGTCGATTTTCACCAATGGTCCAATTGGGTAAACAGGGGGCTTCCCTGCTTCCTCTTCTTGCAGATAATTTACTGCTCCGGGCTCCAATTCCAGGAAGCTGTTGAGAAAAATCCCATCTGCTAAAGCATACCTCTTCGCGTTGTGAAGCGTCCATTTGTAGGCTTCGTTCTTCCGATCTTGAACTGGGTCCAACAGATCTTTGCCTTGAATCGGAATACATCCCGGGATTCTGATTGGCTCGGGGAGGTCGCGGAACTCGCCGGCGACGGATTCATCGAGTTTGGGTAAAAACAGAGCAAAGGAAAGAAACATGGCGGTGGAGGGGAAGAACATATAAGAGGAAATGTTGAATTCTTTGGCTAAATCGAAGGCGTCGGTGCCGAAAAGATCGACGACCAAGCCAACGAGGTTGGAATTAGCGACCATGGATTTGAGTACGTTCCGAAGGGAAGGGAGAGAGCGAGAAATGGTGAGAGTAATGATGGTTTCAATTTTGGAGGCATCGGGAAGATCGTCGAAGCTAACCGGCGGGAGGAAGAGGTAATCGATGCCGGCAGGGAGAGAATCGAGGACGGCCTTTTGAGGCGTGGACGGCGGACCATCGGAAGGGATTACGAATGTGATGGTTAAACGGTGGTGGGAGAGAAGGCGTTTGGCGAACTCGATGAGTGGAATGAGATGGCCCATTCCAGGGCTTGGTAAAAGAGCCAGATGAGGGATGGACGGTGGAGCTTCCATGGAGGCGGCGGCGGTTATGGTTAATAGAAAAGGAAGGAAAAGTAGAGAAGAGAAAGTGGGTTTGAATTTTGAAATGCGATGAATGAAGGAAAGGGGAAAGAGGGGAAT